TAGTTGGATACTTTTTTAGTCCACTCAGTCTCTGCCTTTTAATTGGAGATTTTAATCCATTTAATTTAAAGTCATTACTGATAAGGAAACATTTGCCTCTGCCATTTTGCTATTTCTTTTCTATGTGTTATACCTATTTTGTTCCTCAATTCTTCTATCACTGTCTTCTTTTGTGATTAACTGGGTTTTTTTTCTAGTGTACCATTTTTATTACCTTCTCATTTTTTTCCTGTATATTTTTAAGATTTTTCCTTAGTGGTTACCCTAGGGATTACAGTTAACATTTTAACTTTGTAACAATTAAGTTTGAGTTAGTACCAACTTAGTTTCAATAGTATACAAAAGCTCTGTTCCTTTACAGCCCTGCCATTCCCTTATATTATGATCACAAATTACATCTTTATATACACGTGCCCATTAACATAGATTTGTAATTATTGTTTTAAGCGTTTCTCTTTTAAATCATATAAAAAAAAAAGAGGAGTTACCAACAATGCAACACTCCTGGCTTTTATATTTACTTCCATAGCTAACTTTACCGTTCTTCATTTCTTTGTATGGCTTCCAGGTAGTACCTAGTATCCTTTCATTTCAGCCTGGAGGACTCCCTTTACCATTTCTTATAGGCCAAGTCTACTACGGACAAACTCCTTGAGTTTTTGCTTATCTAGGAATGTCTCAGTTTCCAGTAACACTATCTATGGGGGTGTCAAGCACCTCCCCAGGCCACCTGCTGCCATCAGGTCAGGGTTAGGAGACTAGATTCCCCCTTTGATCTCCACTGAAGCCATGTCTGCTGGCTAGGAAAGCACTACATGCTGCCAGGTGAGGGACAAGAGACCAGACTCCCCAGTTGGTTTCTGCTGACACTGGAGGGAAGGACATCCATGGTGTTTGGCTAGGGTAGGGGAGGTATTGTCAAAAAAGGTTTATATCCAGCTTGGCTACCCCTTTCCCAGTCCTTTGGCTAGAGAGTAGATCTTTCTCAGGGCTTCTTTGGTCTGCATCTGTTAACGGTTCAAGGTTGCAGGCTTCTCCAGGATCCATGGGAGATTTAAAAAAAACTCAGGCAACTCACTGCCATGCCATTACTCCCTTAGCAGAGAATTGACCTATAGGATAAGCACCAACTCTGTAGATGGCACTTTACTCCGTTTATATGCAAACAGTGAGCTATTAAGTTGAACTCTCAGTTTAACACTGCTCCATATGAAACAACTAACTCTAATTGCTTTTTAGTCACTTATCCTATGAATCAGCCTGTTTTTTAAAAATGTGTCACCTCTTCTGAGCTGAGCCAAAATACCATGCCCTGGTCTCCAGCCTGTCCACAGGAAAACGTAGGACACAAACCACTTCATTCTTTATATATTCACTTGGTCCTTCTTGATCTTACCTATGTAAGAAAAATAAAAAGATCTGTTTCTTTGAATTTATTCCTTTTCCTAACTCCAGGACCCTATTTGTATAACTTAATCCAGATGCTCATATCATATCATCGCAGTGGTTGGTATAAGTAGGGGCCAGCTAAACTGCATTCTATGCTGAAAACCTATACCTCATCTCACTCACTTGATAAAAGTAGAGATATACTTTTAGTGTATGTAGAAATTATCTATACATACCTTTGTGCACATATCTGCAAATGTATAAATTCTTTTATCTTACATACTTAAAACCTGGAAGTACACCACTGATTGGCCACAAAGTTGTTTTTTTTTTTTTTTTGAGGAAGATTAGCTCTGAGCTAACTACTGCCAATCCTCCTCTTTTTGCTGAGGAAGACTGGCCCTGAGCTAACATCCATGCCCATCTTCCTCTACTTTATACGTGGGACGCCTACCACAGCATGGCGTGCCAAGTGGTGCCATGTCTGCACCCGGGATCCGAACCAGCAAACCCCAGGCCGCCGAGAAGCAGAATGTGTGCACTTAACCACTGAGCCATCGGGCCAGCCCCGGCCACAAAGTTTTTTAAACAGCATTCCTTTTTAGGAACAAAACATTTTCTTGTTAATTACAATCTAGTCTTGACCATTTATCAAGTTAAATAATATGAAAATTTTAAATCCAAAAATAATCCAAAACTTTTTTATCTTAATCTCTTCTCAGAGCTACTAATAAATATAACGATTTTAATTACACCAGGCTTCCTGGTTTCTCCCCTAGGTACTACAGTTTAAACCCCATAAAAGAAGTCTCTGTAGTTAAGTATATACATCTCTTTCCCAAAGTCAGGTTGATTGTCCATATATACCAAGGAACAGTCAAAGAAAATTTTAACAGAGCAAAAGAAGAATTCAGAGTGTTTAAGTTTTCTGTAATAAAACTTGCTGTGAAGTGGTAAAAATTACCTCATGGGAGAGCAAGCAAGAGGGAATCGAAAAGCAAGGAAGAAAACATAACAAACTGAAAACATGACAATTTGAAATCCCAAGCTAATGTACAGTAACTTTCTTTTACATTTTCAACTCTTCTAGGGAAAACTACTGGCATAAGATACAAAAATTAACTTTAATCACATAATACAGAGATGAGATGACAGAAGAGAGAGGTTTGGAAATGTTCTTATGAATATCTTAAGGCTGGCGTATAATAATGTTTCCTAACCACTAAGCCCTCAGGATATTAATAGGCATTTTATAAATAAAGAGATGAATGGTCACACAAGCTAGGAAATTGCCTTTAACAAAATTGACCAGGTTTCTTTACCATAGGACTTCAAAACCTTTAATGGGCTCATATGCACTGTGAATCTCCCAGAACGGGTAAAGAGGCAGCAGCTGGCAAATCTGTCTTACCACAGAGCCGGATTAATATCTCCCAAAAGACTGTTTTATCACAAGCAGTTTGTGAAAGACTAGAACACATAAGTGACCCATACAGGTGGTTAGGTGAGTTTCTTCTGGGGTCAATATTAGGAATTTGTCATTGCACAAAGACTAAACACAATCATGTGTTTATTACCCAGGACTTCCTCTGCTGAATATGTGTATCCCACCTACAATGGACCAAAGGCGAAGAGTCGGGGGAGAGAAGTGGTGTAGGGATTTTCTGCCTGCATTTCTTACACACCTGTGTCTGCAATCTGAAATCTCCAGTTAGGCATCTGAGTTGGAGGCTTGGGCTGAGCTCTGGGCTCACTGTTTACATTGTGATGGGGAATCTGGTAGACAAAGAAACAATCTCATTCATTAATAGTGACTTGAGAATTCTCAGTCCCCGGTCTGATCCTGGGTCACTAAGCCCCAAAGTAGGCAGGAAGCCCACCTCAAGCAGCTCAGATGAGGACTACTGATAGCAGCAACACATTTTACAACCAGGAAGTAACTATTGTCACTTGCACAGCAGGAGAAAGATAAGGAAGTTGGTCACAAAAGCCCTTTCAGATAGGTCTTCTACACATTCATCCAGGTGCCTCCCAAGCCCCAGTTTGAAACCTGCAGCTGGTAGATAAGCACCTCCAGAATGCCCGCTAATTTTGTTGTGACACAGTCCAGGTTTGCTGTCGGTGCAAATCAGGAGCCTCATCTCATCCAGGTCCTCCTCCGGGGGACGTGATGAAAGCCTCAATTGCCAGTGAAATGGATCACTGTCTTCCTGTACACACAGACACTCTGACCCCAATGATGGGAAGGGGAGCAATCTTTAGGAGATGGACCTCAGTTTGGGAGCTGGCTCTACTATTACTGGCTATGTCACCTTGAGTGACTTGCTTAACCCCTGTATGCTTCAATTTCCTCATCTGTAAAAAAAGGATAATATTAGTACCTACTCCATAGGGTTTTTGTGAAGATTAAATAATGCATTGAAAGCACTTAGCACAATGCCTGGTCTATTGTAGATGCTCAATAAACAAACCTAATAATTTAAGTGAGGAGAAATTATAATCAGGGAAAGGCTTAGAACTAAAGCTTGGCATTAGACATAAAGCAGAGACTCAATAAATACTTGATCGATGAACCAATATCTCTTAAAGCCAACGCTGGAGTATTTGGAGAAGGGCTTCTCACTTGTTTATAGGTGGGTCAGGAAGAACAGGACTTTTACCCTTCAAACTGAAGCAGGAAGCCAATACCTCATGGTATTTGCATCTCAAGGTTGAGTGGATGCTAAAGACCATCTAATTCTCTAAAAGGAGGACAAGCAAATGTTACAAGTGGTTTCACTGACTCAGCAAGTTCTGAGCTGTGCCATATGGAAAGGTACACTCTGAACCATCCAGAGCAATGAGGTAGAAACTGGGACTGTTTATAGAGAAATTTCCCAACACTTTGTGCCAAAAGTCAGAGAGGGTCTTTAAGGAAAGAAAGTTTCTTCAGCAGCAATTAATAAAAGAAAGGATCTGTAGCACCCTTTACCATATTCCACAGATTTGCTGCGTGCTTCTCATTTTCAACTCCGCAAAGAGTGTTGATGAATAAGGCCTTAGTAGCACATGTAAATAAGGCAGAATTAATTCACAGGTGAAACAGATTTTGGTGACACACTCTCCCAACTCCTGCTGTTTCAGCTTATTGTTCCAAGGGAAAATAGCCTCAAGAAAGCATACTGGGCCCAAACCACAGCACTAACCCCATGCTGATGACCATTTATTTTTAGTTTATGCAGAATTAACACAGCTCCTAAAACAAGTGATGAAAATACAGGCACCCAGAATGCACATAGCATACAGAAAACCATGTCCTCCACCCCCAACTGGAGAGACACCCCTTCTTCTACTCCTCTCTCTGAATGAAAACCACATGCAACCCTCTGCAGCCATGAGTGCACGAGTACACATTTGCTTGGTTGCTGATTGAGAAAACTTTCCCTTTTCCACATGAGGTTGGGGGGCTAGCAGATAAGAAGAAATTCAATCACTCTCTGCTCTTCATCCAGATGTCATCTTGGGAATCTGACCAGCCAGTTTTATGGCAATCAAGTCATGCAAAGGAAGCACACTGGTAGGACAACCCTCTATGACCAAACAGTTTACAGAAATCAACATCTGTCTCCTACCTGTGATGGACAAGGTCTCGGAGGGAGCGCGGGTGGTGGAGGTAACAATCCTGATTTAGTGGCTGAAAAGAAAAACGCATACTGTAAAAGACTACCAAAATAAAACATCCTTCCACTTGTTAATTGCAAATAGCAATCCCATTTAACATGTTTAAATTTTTTAAATCCATCTGAAGGCTTTATAAAAAAAAATGAGTATGTGCTATTTGTAATCACTTTTTCATTTTCATCCTACTTGAAATCCAAGTATTCATATAGGCTGTTGTGATTAAGACAGTGTAAAACAGTAAGGAAAACATATCCTTTCATCAAAAGACTGGAACCTAGCACATGAAAGGCAGTCAATCCCTCATCATTCTGATGTTAATTATTTAGTTTTGAATAATCTAGGCCCTTTGGCTTCTCTCATATTTCTCCCTAGCTCTGGTCATTACACTGCTCATTAGTTCAGCAGGTAGGCTGCAGAAACTAAGGGAGCCGAAATCCCAACTACGCAGCTCTGCTGCCCTGTAAGTGAGTGGATCTGATAGCAGTAGGGGAGGTCAAAGTGATGGACTAAAATGATGCTTAGGGATTCTTCAAAAATCTCAATTTCCTTTTCTCTCCTTGATCCTTATTATCAGGGATAATTAAATCTGTTTCTCAAATAATCTGGCCCCATTTAAAGGATCTTTTGAAAGAAAGTTTCAGTCTAATTCTTTTTTAATTTTGTGAGATACAGAGAAAATATGAGTTACGCCAAGAACATCTGAACTGTAACTTAATGAAAATAAACATCTGCTATTGAATTATAAAGTTCATAATCGCACACAAGAAATAAGTTTATCATCACACACTGGCAAGTTAAACCACATTCCTTACAAACTCCTTAGTGCTTCGAACACTGTGCTCTATATCACTAAACATAGTTTATTTGCAAAACCGTAATATGCATGCTAATATTTGGACAATTTTCTGTGCCTTAAAAATAAATCAGCAACATGCGAAGAACATAAAAGTTTTTGCAAATCACTTTTGATTTGACCTAGTTAAATCAGACAAGCTAGAAGACGGAGTTTGGGGCTTTCCACAAAGGTAACTCAGAGTAATTTCACAGAGATTTTCATTCTGAGCCAGTGCACGGATATGGTACAACCATGTGAGCCCATCAACGATTCCTCTCAATCTGTCTTGTGTTAAGATTTATGAAACACATCAGTGGGTCAAAACTGCAGAGGTGATGAGACCTTGAACAGACTTCGATAACAAAGCATGTAGCAGCAGAGAATGACAAAAGTCTCAGAAATTATCCATCTCAGGGCCCCTACTCCACAGGTCCTCATGGATTGGGCCTTTACATTACCAGGTACTTTAAAAACAAACAAACAAAAATCTATACACGCTTTTAAGGGAAAGGCCTTGCACCAAGAATAAAGTGTGGGTTAAAATAACCTTTCATTAACAAAAGAGGACTAAGAAATGATAAGCCATTTAATGAAACTGACTTCTGCTTCCAGCCAAAAATGAGTAAGAGCTATACTCTCCCATTTGAAACAGCCAAAAACAAACATATACTCTTTATATGAAACAACAGTTTAAGACACTGGAACAAAACATATAAAACAACAGTTTTCAAGACACTAGGAAATCAGGCAACAAAAGACAGTGATCCCTGAGAGACAGGAAACAAGGTGAGCTGTGTGACTGACTGTCCCTGCTTACTGCCCTGAGAGTTACTAGAAATAGGACCTACATCCTGATTCATGTCTGAATAATTTCATTTTTACTATTAACTTTTTTAAATGTCCTATTTTTGTAAAAGATTATGTGAGGGTCTGTTTCTGAAAATACTTTTGGGTAAAATTATATCACCTATGAATATTAACAGCAGTTTTGTTTCCTCTTTTCAGTACCTTTATCTATTTTTGTGGGGTTTTTTGTTTTGTTTTTTTTAAAGATTGGCACCTGAGCTAACAACTGTTGCCAATCTTCTTTTTTTTTTTTCTGCTTTATCTCCCCAAACCCACCCCCCCATACATAGTTGTATATCTTAGTTGCAGGTCCTTCTAGTTGTGGGATGTGGGACGCCACCTCAACGTGGCCTGATGAGCGTTGCCTTGTCCGCACCCAGGATCCGAACCCTGGGCCGCCACAGCGGAGCACGCGAACTTAACCACTCAGCCATGGAGCAGGCCCCTATTTTTGGTTTTGATCTTACTCACCCAGCTAGAACTACTGTAAAGTTGAATAATAGTGGTGATACAGGCATTCTTGTCTTTTCTTGATCTCAAAGGTAATAAGGCTATTTCACCATTAAGTCTGGTATTTGCCATATGTTTGTTGTAGATACCCTTTAACAGATGATAAAAATTTCCATCTATTTTTTTGAGATTTTTTAATAACTTGTTGAATTTTAACGAAAGCTGCATCTGCAGCCATTGAGATGACGGTATGATTTTTTTCCTTATAATTTGTTAATATGATATATTATGAATTTTTTAATATTAAAACACTTGTAGATCTAGGATAATCTCAATTTAGTCAGATTTTTATATCTTCTTGGCTTATATTTAGACTTAGTCAATATTTTGTTTAGAATTTTTGCAACTATATTCATGAGTGAGACTGAGTTTCCTTTCCCATGTGGTCCTCTGTTATACTTGATTTGGCTGGAGAGTGTTCCCCCTGTCTATACTCTGGAATATGTTTGTAAGATTGGAAAAGTTTGTTGTTGTTGAACGTCAGGCAAAACTTGATAAGAACCATGTGGGCCCAGAGTTTGCTTTGAAACAAGATTTTTAACGATTCCTCTTCTTTAAATGTTATAGGATTATTCAGACTTTCTAATTCTTAAGTCAGTTTTGATGAATAAATGTCTAGAAAAATATTTATTTTGTCTAAATTTTCACACTTATTGCCATAAAGGTCATCTTAATCTCTGCATATGTAATTTTCTTTTTCCATTCCTAATACCGTCCGTCATCACTTTGTCCTTCATTAATCTCACCTGATATTTGTCAGTTTTATTACTCTTTTCAAATAACCAACTTTTAACTTTTTTAAGCCTCTATATTATATGCTTGCTTTCTGTTTCATTAATGTCTGCAGCATCTCCTTCCATTTACTTTCTTTGGGCTTATCCTATTATTCTTTTTCTAGCTTAAATTGGTTGCTTAGCTCATTCATTTCCAGCTTTTCTTCTTTTCTACCATAAGCATTTAGTTATTAATTTTCTTCCAAGTATCTCTTTAACAGAATCTCATAGGTTTTGATATATGAGATCATTCAGTTTTAAAATTTTCCTAATTTCCATTATAATTTCCTTTATGATATTACTTTCTATCTGAAGTTCATCCTTTAGAATTTCCTTTATTGAGAGTCTCTTAGTAGCAAGCTTAGTTTATTTGACTGAAAAGTCTTTACCTTGCCCTCATTCTTGAAAGAAGATTTCACTGGGTACAGAATTCTAGATTGACAGCTGTTTTCTCCCAGCACACTGAAAATAACATTTCACTGTCTTCTGGCTTCCATGATGGTTGTTGAGAAGTCAGATGTCGTACAATCATTGTTTTTGGTAGGCAGTCTGTCTTCTCTCTGGTTGCTTCCAAGATCTTCTTTTTGTTTTTGGTACTCTGCAGTACCAAACTTTACCCTGTGTCTGCATTCCATTTCTTCATCCTCTTTTTCTTTCATAACCTGCTGAACTTCAATGGAATTTCTGAACTATGTGATATCCCATTAACTTTGGGAAATTCTCAGTGATTCTTCAAATATTGTCTTTCCACCATTTTCTTTCATCTCTCCTTCTGGAGCTCTTTGTCTAGCTGTGCTGTGCTCTGGATAATTTTCTAAGATCTGTTGTCCAATTAAGCAACTCCCTCTTCAACTGTACTTAACGTCCTGTTAATCCAGTCTTGAGTTTATTTCAATTACTAATTTTTCATTTCTAGAAGTTCAATTTTGTCTTTTTCCAAAATGGCTTTTTCATTTTTATAATTTCTTAATTACTTTTCATTTTATTCATCTCCTTTTCTTTCAACATAGTAAACACATTTATGTAACAGTCTGTGTCTGATAATTCCAAAATCTGAGGGCTTTGTATTTCCTATGGTTTTATTGCTTCTGCTGGCTCTCTCTCATTGTGTTCCATTTCCTAGAGTGCTTGGCAACCTTTGACTCTGAACGCATATTCCTTGGGACTTTACCTGTAGGAATATTCTGGGGCCTGGGTGGAAAATGAGTTTCTCCTCTATTACTTCTGCCAGAAAACTGAAGGTACTATCAACCTGGAACCACTTTAAACTAAAATCTTGGCTTGATACTGTGAGAGATTCCTACTTTCTGCTGTCCTGAGATTTTGCTACCTGTCTTATAGTAAAACTTTTGAGTATAGATAGTAGTTTTAATATTTACAACTAATTTCACTGTTATCTCATTAACACAACAGTGAAGAGAACTGTTTAAAACTGGGAAAACAGACGAGTGACCGATAGCTGAATGAGCAGTAGAGAAAGCAGAGAGCAACCAATTTGCACCACAGAAGCCTCCTGATTCTCAAGAATTGGTGATATCAAACTTCTCTGGAAGTAGGGGTAAAATGAGGAAAGTAATAAAAAGTAAAGAAAATTAGCTGACGGTGGATCCTACTTCCTACCCTTCAGGAGAAGGGCATACCTCGACAAGACCCTTAAGATCTGGTTCCAGCTATAATTCATGCTGTTTTTGGCTTCAGGATCCCTGCTCCTGTGGTCCCCTCTGCCTGTAGTGGCCATGCCCTACCCCTACTTCACCTGGATAACTCAGAATATAGTAAGCGACCAATAAATATTTGTTTGAAATAACATAAGGAAGAACTATAGGATTATGTTCCATCCCCATATTAAAAAAAAAAAAAAAAAAGACTGGGGATGCCCAGTGGTGCAGTGGTTAAGTTCACACGTTCCGCTTCAGTGGCCTGCAGTTCGCCAGTTTGGATCCCGGGCGTGGACCTACACACCACTTACCAATCCATGCTGTGGCAGGCATCCCACATATAAAGTAGAGGAAGATGGGCACGGATGTTAGCTCGGGGCCAGTCTTCCTC